CGTTTTCTTTTTTTGCCGTACTCTGAGCGCCAGAGGTGCAGGTTTCTTCTTTCGTGAAAGGGGGAGCTTTTTCTAACCGTGAGCGCAATTTATTTCTTCATGTTAGGAATTTCGAGAACAGACCTCTGAAGCCAGGGAATTTTTTGTCATGACGCTCCAAGACCTCTTCCGCTCCGAATATTCAACTAAGCATTAAATTGAGTCGCAGACACTTAAAAGCTGATAAGTTATCGTCAGTTTTGTTACAGATCTTCATGAGGTTTTTGACTATTGTTTTTCTATCTGCACAAATTTTAGCTGAACTCTGATACGTAAAAAAACAATTTTTTTTTCTGAAAACAAGAACCAGAGAACACTATTTTGTTAATATAATTTGAGGAAACTTTGGTTGAAAATTAAACAGTTCCTTGGTCAGTTTGGATATTTTGTCACTTGAACTGGTACAGGTAATAAAATTATTGTCAATCTTCATCTACTTCACAGTTTTTAGACTTTGTTATTGGCTTTTGATATCTAACCCTGTTCACAGTGCTTCCGGGCAATAGAGATAGGGGCCTTATTTAATCTAGCAAAGACGGTGGTATTAGTTCCCCACAAAAAAAAATGCCAAGTGAAAAAGCCCAAGTACAAGAAGGTTGGAGGTCAAGCAGAACTTCCAGTTGGTGAATAAATCATCCTGGATCGGTCCACAGAAAGCTTTACAGTTTTCATTGATTTATACAGTCTCTTATTTATTAGTGAAGAATAAGAAAAGGGGGGAAGGTGGGATGGGGGTTAAAAAAGACGGGGGCTTATTGTTAAAACTTTCTTTCATTGAAAAGGAGGGCTTATTTGAGAGAGGGGGCCTTAATAGGGGATTTAAGATGTTGTTATTATTGTTTTTTTTTTTTGCCTCTCAGATGTAAAAAAAAGCATTAACCCCGCATTAATAGCTAGCAAACGGTGAAGAGTGTTTCCATTATTTGTAATATAGCAATCCAAAATGTATTCTCCACTTTGAAATAGATTTGATTTTCAGAGCAAAAACTTTCTTAATCCCTGACTTTGGTTTATTTGACATATTACTTGGGGCTGCACTTTGCCATGTCAATGTGCAAATTGACTAAAGGCTAGACTCCAGTTGTTCAAAAATTTGATGGTCCTATCTGAGTCATGTGCACAGTAAAAGTTCCTGTCTCATTTGGAGATAATAGATGTTTTAAGTCAAACACGCTTTGCTCGTCAGATGGGCCCTTTCGTACTCTTATTGAGACATGACTTGGTAGTGGTGTGCTGATTATCGATCATAATCTAGAAAGCATCAGAAACCTAAAGCAAAGTGAGTATTGCTTATACAAATGTTCAGTTGATTGTTGTGGAAAATTCACAAAAACATTGTTGACAAATAAGGACATTAATACACCTGTGTTGTCTTTTTGATGGGGTCTTAATTTAGTTTATACGATGTTTAGTTGGTTTAACTATATGACAGATAAGCCTCTGCTTGCAGGGTAGGTTTTTTGTTTTGTTCACTTACAAAATTATTTTCAGTGTTGAAAGTGGCACACAGGGGGCACAAAACTATAATCTACTATAATCGATTATCAGTTTAATAGTTGGGTTAATCTGATTATTTCTGACGATATGATTATAATACAGACACTATTACTAAGACTAACCAACACCTTAAAGTAGACTTTGAAAGTATTTAAGCCAGCACATCTAACAGCTGCAACCTCACACCGCAACACCTAAACAAGCTAAAAGCCTTGCCTTGTCCCTGTGTGGCATTTTCCCAGGCCTTAATTCTTGGTCAATTCATTTCGGTGACTTATCTTAGGCAAACTGGAGGGAAACTGTTTCACTATTTCGCTTGGGACCACGTGACCTAAAACTCATTGGCCATGACTAGGCAACTAAAAGCTCACTATGCTAATGGGGACTCTGGCACAAAACACTTCAAAAGCCTTTGCATCCCTACATGAAAAATCCCATGATCGAGATGCTCCAGGCCCCTTCCGCTCTTGTTTATTCAGTGGATAGTGATATATGCACCCTTTGAAGTAGTTTATTTTTTTCAATCCAAGTTATAGAACTGAATTATAGCTGCTTCACAATCATACCCAGCTGGTGTTGGAATACTAGAGTACCAGCCACTTTTTCACCTGGTCCACAAACCCCCTTTTCAAGGATATAGTGACAAGAACATCATGCAGTGACAAGAACAACATGCACACTTAGCCTACAGTAATCAGAAGCTCAATTGACAGGTTTTAGTTTGACAGAAAATGTATTTATCTTGGGGTCACTGTCACCCCATGTCTGGAATCTGGGAAATTTTTCTCTTGGAATCTGGAATAAAGGTCCTAAAGTACTCTGGATCCCATTTATAACTGGAATCTGGAATCCATGTTCCACTGACAAAGAATCCAGAATGCGGTATCCATGGCACAAAATTGAGAATCCAAGACTGTCAGATTTCCTTGAATGGGCTGATCACTGTTTTCAACTTGATAAAATAAAAGACATCATGTGCTTTCATTTATTTTATTTTTGCAACTAGAAAGAAATCCCACAAGCTTCAATGTATCAATATGTAAGTTTTTCATTTCTGAGAAAGGAAACAGTTTATTTTCTCAATGTCTCTGTATTTAGCTGTATTTTACAGCCAATGAAATGAGCAAATAATAATAAACTATCATTATTGTGACACTAAAAACTGAATAAATGAAAAGTCAGGATTAAAAATATCAAATGATAGCGACGCTATGTTTGGCTTCAATTTTTAGTTTTGTTTCGAAATCTGCCTCTCTCGCTCCTCGTCCCCCTTCAAAATCACAGTGGAAAAATTAAAAGGCCAGGTTAGGCCCATGAATGTTACGATCAAATGAAAAGAATGTTTCACTTGACAAAAAACTGCTGAGACAAAGCGCAGATTATGCAAGATTTCCGTATAACCCCATACATTAATAATATTAAGCATACAGCTTTTGTTCAAAGAAAACAAAAGGCAGAACAATACTACACCTTTGCAACGGGCAGCTAAATTTATTGATAAGCTGAAGCCTTGCAAGTATTCTTTCACAAATCGGGAATTAAAGAAACAAATCTTTAGTAATTTTCGGAACACACAAACCAAATAGCACGAGTAACAGAAATACCTCTACGCGTTATAATATTCCCAGCGATTACCAGATATCACTATATTCGAATCTTTGCCTTCCAACGGTACAGTCACAGTTTTCCGAACAATCAGACCTGAATTCTGTCCACCTTTTAGGTCTCAAACACTGAAGAAAGCACTTCTCAGGCTCTACGAAGCCCTCAAAGGTTAACCATCTTTGTTTTGGAAGGAATAAACCAATGAGAGCGCACGTATGAACGCGCTATGGAATGCACCAATCAGCGATCGTTTTAGTTCGCTGTGTGCCAGGGTCTTCTCTCTTGCCGCCGCCATATTGGAAAGCGAGAAGACCCTGGGGACGAGGTTGGTAACGGAACAACGCTGCACCGCGCCAATCTTGAAGTGGATTGTCATATACCGGATAAGGGGGTGTTTACATGAGAAAACTCGCACCGGGGCGAGTTTCATACCGGGATGACTCTTTTATTTCGTATCGCGTTTACATTATGACTGGGTCATTTCATATCTCGTTATTTGAAGGTACACTTCATGTTGATAAAATACACGTAAGATTCAAAATCGCAAACATTACCGGCAGACCGATTTCACACCGAAACGGGTGGTCGTTTCGCGTTTACATGATACCGTTGCGAGATTTCGTTCCGGAGTGAAATTCTCGCCCTGGTACAAGAACCGGAGTGAACTCACGCCGGGGTGACTCGCGCCGGCATGACATTTTGTGGTGGTATCATGTAAACAAATATAGAGCCATTAGAGGGAACCGGAGTGAACTCGCTTAAACACCCCCTAAGTTTCTGTCCCTCTTCGTCGCAATGTGAACAGGTATTCGAACCGTAGCGGAAGTAAATGAGTAGAAGCGACGACCGGAACACTACTGCGACGGAAGTGAAGATTGGTATTCAGAGAACCAAACCGATGTTTGATGTGTGTGAACGACTTGTTCCAGTCGTGCACAGTTGCTGTTCACACTATACCAGGATAGCTTTTCGTTGTTGCACAAAAAGGGATCCAGTAGCCTCGATCCAGTACAGGCGGATTCATAGTGACGTCATTGTTAACCCATAGAAGGCGTAGCCGTACATTCTTTAGGAATTAGGTGCAAAAATTAAAAGAGCAGGTTAATTTATGCAGTTTGTGCAAGTTTCAGCTTTTTGCAATCAGTAACAAAGAAAATAGTAGCAATTAAAAACTACAAGATTGCTGGGTGGCTAAACGTTGATGCGCTCATATATTCTTTTGTTAATTTGGGGGTTTTTCAAAGAGATTTTCTCCGAAACTATTTGGTATATCAGGCTCAAATTTCAGAGATAACTGAATTTGTTCTGCTCTTTCAATATTCACAAATTTTATTTTATTAGCTTCATCAGATAATGATAAGCCTATGCTAATGAGGCAACAAATGTAAGCAAGGATTCGCCTATAGTGTAGACAGCTGTTGAGATGGAGGCTAATGGTCCTTGGGACAAACCTCAACTGTACTTGCTAAAACAGGTTGATTTCCCTAACAATATTATCCACTGAATATCGCGGAATTATCCAGTAGATAGTAGAAAGCGCAATGCATTTCTTGTCAATTGGGCCTGTGAAGTGGGAGACGAACTGAAAAAACTTTCTTGACAATGTCTATGAATACAGCACCGAGAGACAAGAACGCAAAACGTTTTGCGCTAGAATTCCCTGACTAATTGGGCATTATACTGATGAACAGTTAGGACTGTTGGATATATTCAGCACCAGCAACTTGCCGTCTGTCCTTTTGAATCCTTTTCTTTTAAGCCACATTTTTACTTTGTCCTTATCTATTACTCTAAACGTCTTAAAGTCTACTTTCTGTGCAACGCCCGTCTACAATTTCATGACGCTTTTGAACCTTATTTTACTCTCCATAGAAAGTTACAGAGAGTTCAAATGTGGATAATGATCGGTATTTTAACCGAAGTTTGCTTAAGTCATATATACGACTATTGCTTGTAGCGCAACGGTTGTTGACTTGCAATCTCACTGTTCTCAGGGAGGAGCAATTCATCATTAAATAGTCACAAAAACTTGGTAGCCAGTCTTCACTTACTTCACTGCGGATGTTGACTGTTAGATTGAGATCAGTTAATGACGTGTTTTCTGGACAATCATCAGGTCTCAATAGACAATACCAGCTATTATGCTGTTCACCTTCACTGATGTCATTTACTGTCAGCGTGAGTGTACTTAATGCCATGTTTTTTGCTAAACAACTTTTCAGAGAGCATACCCACAATACAGAGCTGAAGTATTCGTAACCACTGACTGTAACAGTAAGGGACGCTATTGAATTGTTCACTGACAGTCCTTCAATTAATATCACTGTCCAGTCAGAATAAGTACAGGTGCTGTGGTTAATCGTAATGACTAGTTCCCTTAAAGATGAGGTACTTGCCAGTCCAAAACAGAGACCTTCTACCCAAGTCACAGGCATTTCTTTTGAATCGTCAGAGGGGTGGTAATAGAACATGGCACTGTAAGGGTTAATTTCATTGTTCTCCTGATAGTTGTTGCTTGTAAGGCTGAGTTTTGTTAGTGAAGTGCTTTCCTCCAAACATTTTCTCAGAAATTTACCCCAAAAATAAGTTAACTCATTACCGTTGATTACGACGGAAAGTGTAGTCAAGGACTTCACGGCCATCATTTCTTCTCCGAATCTCATCACCTCGCTACGATCGTCAATTGAGAGACTAAGTGTAGTTAATGACGCCATTTTCGCTAAGCTGTTGATCAGCATGTATTCCCAGCCTCTTGCCATGTTACTGTAGTTCCTGATTGTAAGACTTAAAACTGTTAATGACGAACTTCGCAGCAAACTATCCCCGAGGTCTTTCCCTATTCCTGGATTCATTGTGTAGTTGCTCACTGTAAGATCCAGCATGGTTAGTAATGTGTTTTCTGCCAAAGCATCACCTAGCAGACGTGGCCAGTCACCAAATACTTTATCTTCGTCAATTATTTTAAGACTGATCTTCTCCTTTCTGGTATTCTTAACTTCAGAGAACATTGGTATCAGTGACGCAAGATTGTTAGTAGAGACATCAAGAGTATTGCACATGTCATTAGGAACACCACTGACGCCATGCACTTTCACTTGGACGGTTTCATTATTCCGTGATAGTTCCTGAAGTAAAGTTCCTGTTGCTGGGGCCAACTCTTCCCAAATTTCGATTGTTAGGGAGGACAGTGTATTTTGTCGTCCGACATATCTTTTAATAATATTAGCAACACTATCACTTAATTTTCCACGTACTTTCAAAGTCAGGCTTGTCAGGGGGACATGCAACAAGACCTCACATAAATGTTCTGCTCCACCACACTTCAGCTCTCCCCAAATAACTACAGTAAAGTGCTGCTTTGTTTCTACCCCTCTCTCGACCACAGCAGGACTAAAATGCGCCACTTGATCACATGTAACACTGCTGCCAGGGTCTGGATGAAAAGTACAGTTAACTGACCCCTTCTTTACCGAACGAAGCTTTTCCACAACAGACTGCCAGTTGTCAGGAATCTCTCCACGGAGAGTCAGTACTAAATCACTTAAAGAACGATTTTCTAGAAGACTGTTTTGAAGAGCATTTACACCAGGGAAACTAAGGTTGCCGTCAACAATGAAAACCAATGACTTGAGGGCGGTTTTTTGCACAATTCCTCTACTAGTAACAGCAGCTACAAATTCTTGCACATCTCCAGAGATATTAAGGGAAAATGAGGCCAAAGCTTTATTTGATAGAAGCTTTCCTAAACCACGGACCGAAGTATCACACAATGACCCATGAACGTTGAGGTTCACAGACTCTAAAAGAGTGTCCGCAGACAAAGCAGGTTCAACAGCGCTGGCCCAAGTCTCCCCCCACACTCTGTCAAGTTTAAACGTTACTTTTCTCAAAGCTTTGCGGCCAGCTAACAATTCACCGATAGCAACCGCTGCGTCATAAAGGATACTGTCCCTCACTTGTGGAGTGAACTCTGATAAAGTCGTGTTTCCAGATAAGCTGGTGTGTAGGGCTTTCGTTAGATCTAATGTCACTGCTGGGGTGAAAATGGTAAAAGTCTGAAGCCGCGAGCAGGATTGTATGCACTCTGCAACGTTCCCAAAGCCAGAGGCGTGCATAGGTGAATGATAAACAGTAAGCCGAACTGGCTTCTGTAGGTTCGAAAAGGTTTTGCAGGCCTCTAAAACGTGACACACACTGCTAAAATCGTAACTACCAAGCTTAATCTTAACATGCAGAGGAAAGGGTATGTTGGAACAAAGAGTCTCTGCCATTTTTTCAGCGTGTCCACTTTCGCTCAAGCTTTTCGTAAGGAATGTTGCTGCTTCCCTGCCTTGGTCCTCGCTGTCAATGTCGTAACACTCATCTTCACTCTCTTGGTCATCTATCGTCGCTTCTCCAGACTGTGTGCAAGTGACCCAGTCCCATTCTCCATTGTTTTTTAGCTCCTCGCCAATCTGTGTGAATAGAATGCTTGCATCTCTCCCTAGTATACCGGAAACAAAAAGAAACACTTCTCGATACTTTTTCACCAGTTCATGAAAACGTAGACGCTCAAACAACCTTAACTGGTTTCCTCGCAGCTTGTGAGAAATAAAGACGGCAGCCAGGTACTCTTGGAAGGTCTTGTGAAGAAAGTAGTACTCATGTTGGGGCTTTAACTTCCTCAAACTTTCTTCCTTGTAAACGAGGCCTAGGTGACGGGAAACCAATCCTTTGTATCTTCTTTCAAGCTCGGCTAATTCACTTTCGCGAAAGCAATAGCGATCACTCAGCAGACACATCCAAGCTAGTTCTCCAAGGGCAAAAATGCTTTCTTCAAATTGCTTTTCTAAAGTGTTATTGTCTTGAGGAGCCTCCAGATTATGTTTAGCGCAATGTCTCCTTAAAAGGCACAGTACAATAACTTGGTAAAGCTCAGAACGGGAAGATGGCAAATTCCCCTCATAGTCCTCATAAATAACACAAAGAAGAAGTAAATTTAGCGGATTATTTCGCAGGGCATGCAACAGAGTGTTTTCTTCTATCTCCTTAATGAGACTTTCTCCCTTTGATGAATGCAAAGGATCAACACTTTTAAAATGTTTTCTGATATACTCGAAAGCACCACTTTCTGTGAATCCTTTAATCTCCAAACGGATATCGAAGCAATATTTTCGTCGTACATCAATTCCCCTCTCTTGTCGAGAGGTAGCCAATACATAACAAAATGACAAAATTCTTCTTTGAAGCAGTTTATCTACAAATTGTTCCGATCCTTGGGGAAGCTCATCCAAACCGTCCAAAATGATTAAAGTTTTCTCCTGGTTATGAATGTCCTTAATGAAGTCAAACAGCCCCTCTTTGGTCTTCTCCTCGGTATCTTCTGGTAATAGTTGTTCACTGATGGTTTCCATTATATCTTTATGTATATCTCGACATTTCAAAAGCAACATCAGCTCGAATTTGGGAAAAGAACACTCCGCTGGGATTTTTCCATGTGCCCAGTCATACGCAAGTTTAAGGCAAAACGTAGTTTTACCGATTCCTGGACTTCCCTCTACTAGCGTCATAACATCCTCACCTTTGTCAAGAGCTGTGAAGATGTCGAACACATTCACCTCGTTGTCCTCTACCCGGAAGTCTGCTTTTCGCCTTGAGACGATTTTAAGTCTCGTGTAGACGTCATCCAGTGGCAACTCAAAAGTGCTATCCCAGAAAAGTGGTCTTAAATGAGAGCGCCTTTTGTATTCAGCTTTGAGAAACTTCACAACAACTGAGATGAACCAACCTGCTGGAAACAAGAAGACCGGAAAATAATGGTCAGGATTTCACACTAACAACGTGTTAATTTGTAAAGTGTGTCCTCTCATTATTTGATCAGTAGAATGCCCGAAATTTCTCTTTATCGTCAGAGCACTTTTGAGTAAATAATTTAGAATAAATAATGCTACTTTGAAATCTTTACTGTCGTCCCTTAATTAACATTTTCCCTTTCTTCGTGTTTCTTGCCATGCACAAATAGGCTTCACAAGACAACGTTGAATAAGGAATAGTAACTATCGGACACTTGGCGCCATGGAGCTGGGGCTCGAACTGTTTTTACCCTCATATTCTGATTAAACCAAATACCTGTGTTTCATTTTCCCACTGATAGAGTACCACGGAAAAACTATCTTCTTTGACACTTTGGGCTGAAATCAATTCTAAGGAGCTGCCACACTTATATGAAAAATACTTTCTTTGAAAATTCTGTCACTTTAATGATTTGGCTCTTATTGGTGTTCCATTAACGTGTTTACATGTAGGTAAACGTAACAAATCTCAGAAAGGTTTCGTTTTTTAGTCTCGAAAGAGTTAATAAACTTCAGATGGAAAATTCCTTTTCTGAAAACAAGCAAATAAGCGAAAAGGAAATAGTTTTGCACTTCGCCTCTCTTAGTGACGCCGAAAAAAAAAAAACCTTAGGGACTAAACTCTTCACTGTCACAAATTCTTAACTCTTCAGGTTATGCTTGAGGGTGTTATGAAGCTTGTTCGAAATTGGGAGAGCGAGTCAGACGTGAGAAGCGTACAATTTGCTCCAAGCACGAGTGACAGCGACTCAAGCCTCGTGAGTGCCTAACTTCAAACCTGAAGCAGAGTGAGTGGGCATAATAAAGCCTCAATCAATGAACACAAAATCATCCACTCTGTGTTACTTCCGATGCAGTGTATGCTAATAGTCCTACAATAGTCCTAGCAATGTACAGGATGTTTGTCACATGAACCTAGTTTAATGACCTTAGCTCTCACAAGTCTTCTGTAGCTCAGTGGTAGAGCATCTGGACTGGTAACCAGAACCTCATAGGTTCGACTCTTATGCGGGGGGAAAATGAATTTTTTTTACGAGCCGCCTGTATCACTGGCTGAAAACCATCTTCCGTACGAAGACGGTTGTACGTATAACAGGGCTCGAAATTGCGACTCACTGGTCGCCAATGCGACCAAAAATTGAGCACTGGCGACTAAATTTTCAGAACTGGTCGCCAGCTGGCGACTCGCGTCCAATGACTAAAGAAAACCAGGAAACCACTTTTGTTTTAAAATCTTTATATTAGGAAATCAATCAGATATGGTAGCTAGTATACAACTCACCCTTCCGTCCTCGGTAAAATAATGTCTGAATATTACAAGATAATCGAAAAAATTGAATGTATTTCGACACCTCGATACTGCGTTCGCGGCACGCCATATTGTTTCAGCGGCTTCTTCCGAAAATGGGAACCCAGGCGCACTTCATCACCATAGATTCAAATCAGTTGAAGGATTTACGTGAGTTTTTACATGCCGGGAATGAGGATTCAGCCAAAAGGTTAATCCAAACTTTGAATCCTTCATCAGTTGTTGATGTAGGGAAAGACCTAAAAACTGCACTAAGCCCATTTTTGTTTCCTCCCAGTCGGAGACTGGTACGAGCAATGTGGTTGTGTAGAGAGCGAAAGGCGTTGAGGAAAGCAAGTCGAAAATGAAGAACAGCATTTCGTAGAAGTAGCAAAGGGCAAATACGCAAGAACCTGTGGACTTAAAACGTTTTATGCTTCGCTTCATTTAAAATGACTATGGAGACATGAGAACAACGGTGGCTTTATAACTGTTACTCATGTTGTTTCTAATTGTTTTCGCTCTTCAGTTGTGACTTTTCTTGCATGCAAAGTAACATATAAAATCGTGTTCTTGTGTAAGTGATATATAAAATAAGTTGGCGACCAAAATTTACGATCTGGCGACCAAAATTTTTCCGTTAGTCGCCAGCTGGTTCCCGAACGATAAAGTTAATTTCGAGCCCTGGTATACAATATACATCGAAAGAAACAACTAACCCTTAACTGAAATTGAGCAAAAACAAACTTTACCTTCATCTTTCAGTAGCCTTGGGTATTTCGGAGCTGGAATGTTACTTGAAGATAACGGCCTTTTGCCTTTCTTGGAAGACTGGCGTTTCTTTGTCGAGCCTAAAATCCAATCAAATACTGTTTTTGTATTTTCCCCATTATTATTTTTCACCTTTACGATATATACACTGATATTTAATCCTTGTATCCATCACTGTTGCAACTGTACTAACTATCCACATAGATATGGCCATTTTATTAACGAAGCTTAAAAAATTCTGTCAAGCGTTCGAGCCCTGAACGTTGTAATTTCCAGACGCCGCAAAACTCTGTTGAATTGAACTAATCAAACAAAAAACACAGGACAAGACAGACTTAGATTCTGGAGTCCACACTGGGCATTCCAGATTCCAGGTAATGGATTTAGGATTACAATCGTTAAATTCCAAAGCCAAGGATTCCGGATTCCACGAAACAAAATCGACAAGCAAAAGTTTCCCGGATTCTGAAATCCGGATTACCATTGGTTGATCAATAGCCCTCTTTAGCTTGTTTTTTTTGCCCAGTCCAATAGAGGTCCAAGTCCTTTTGTCTCTTTTTATGCGTAGATACATGTATGCACGAGAATAAGATGTAATTTGAAAGAAACAGTTCTCTAGAGTATTAACACATGGCCTGCATTGGGAAAACAAAACATACAAGCTAAAGAGGTCTACTCTTACTTATCACCTCTACACCGCGGCAATGGCAAGCATTTCCTTACGCTGTGGTCCATTATCCAATTTAGCACAAAAAGCGTAAACCTGAAACGAGTGTTATTTCTCGGCATCTAACATTGTTAGCTTGTAACCAGTGTGACAACGTTTTGGCCTTGTAAGTCAGTTTTAAACGTCTCAGTCCTGTTCAATGCTCCGACCATTTCTTGTTTACTGAACATTCCCACAAGGAAAAATCATTAAGCCCAAATAGACTAAAGTACATCTCTCAGACCTTCCTAAATAGAAAACAATGAATTGCTCTTGTGGATATATTGTTCATGTTTCTAAGATTCAAGTGTACCTTTATGAAGACGTTTTTCAGAAGGAGAGGGCTTTTCATCATGACAGATCACAGCAGCTTTCCTAGATAAATTCTGCTCATCTGCAGAGGGACCTACAAAAAGAGTACACAAATGTGGCAATGCAATAATTCTTTACTTTTGACCCTCAAGGTCGGGAATAAGACGTCTAGAAAAAACAAAATCTGCTTTCTTTAAAAAGTATCGCAATTTTGTTTACAACTCTCTGATATTGTTACATGAAAGTGGACTTCTCTGGTGGAGTTATTAAAAGAGGTGGAAAATTTATCTTGTTGAGGTGAGGTTCTCACTACTATTGTCATTGTAATTGCGTGAGCCTACATTTCCTACTGCAAGTAGTACAGATTATAACTGAAGACCAATTTATATAACATTGTGAACCTGTTACCTTGACAAATGGCGAGCATTTGTTCCACAAGTCTATTACAGTGATCCTGCCAGCTGTATATCCCGGCATACTCTCCTTGAAGAACCTTCGCCTCTCTAAGTCTTAACTTTCGATCTTTCCCACGGACAGCTTTGATTGCATTGGCCCAATCTTTAGGATCTTCTGATTGTACCACACAACTTAAAGCAAAAGGAACTTTCTTCAAAGCTTCTCCAAGACCAGAGTTCCCACTGACCAGCACAGGCAGACCAGCTGATAAAGCCTCAAGGGCGGCCAGCCCGAATCCCTCAGTTCGTGATGGCATTATAGCAAGATCTACTTCACAAAACAACCGGGCTAACTGCTCTCTGCTTTCATTAAAACAACGTACAGTTAGTTGACTGCGATCAATTCCTTGATGGAGTAACAAATCTTTTACTTTCTCCTCTTCACCACTTGGAGCTCCAACAAACAAGAGCTTATAGGGCTGTGGCTCATCTTTCAACTCGGCAATAGCTCGAGCAGCGATGTCATATCCTTTCAGCTGAAAGTCTTCATTGTCACCACGCCCAAACACTAAAACACTGAATGTTTTTCTTTCTTCAGTGGCTTGCTTTACATCAGAAAATTCAGAGAAGATGCCTGGGGTAAGGTTGAGAACATCTTGATCTTTTCCACAGGCACGGAGATAACCTGAGAAAACTTCAGCCAACTTGGGTCCAACAGCTACAACTTGATCAGCTTTTTCACAGAGTTTTACCTCAGACTGGTGCTTTTTCTCACCTTTTGAAATAGCATCTGCGTAGGACTTGTACATACCAAGCTCTTCAGGAGCTGTATGAACGACCTGAATCCACTGGCACTTACACTGACGTTTTATACCCTGCACTTGGCGACCAAGAACAGCCCCATGTCCTATCACACAATCGACCGGATGGCTTTCAGGAAGAAAGGACAACCAGTCTACTGGGTTGTCATAACCTGGCATTTCTTCTGCTTCAATAAGATGTACATTGTGACTTGCCGCAACTCGTTTATCCTCTTCACTGCACTGAGGGAGATAAACACTGACCTCCACTTTGGGGTGTTTTGCCAACTGAATGGCCAGCTCTCGGTTGATGGTTGACAAGCCTCCTTTTGTTGATCTCCATTCACTGCTTAACAGAGTTACCCTCAATTTCCTCGAGGAAGTGGATTCTGAATTACTTTCATGGTCTTCCTGTGATGTAGAGGCTGTGCTAGGAAAGGATGACAATTCCTAAAAGAAGAGTGGCATAAATTTATTTAAGGGTTTATTAAAACGCTAACCTGAGATCAGGCTCAATTTTGGCAGTTCTCACACATTCTCACTTAGGTAGTCCCGCTAAAATTCTCTTTTCGTTTCACTCTGGCCACCGGAATGTTATTTACAAAGAGAAACGAAAACAGAGCCTGATCTCAGGTTATTTAAAAGCATTTTTAATTCAGTCTAAACTCTCCTTACGGACACCTCTATATTCCCTACCTCTATAATACGGACACCTCTGTAAAGCGGACACTTGGTTCTGTCCCTTTGGTGTCCGTATTAAAGAGGTTTGACTGAAGTAAGTTCTTGCAAACTTTAATTGAGCATTGTCTTCCACTGCTTTTCTGTCAGCGATTGCACTTGCAAAAACTGACTAGAAAAACATGCAGGACATTTTTTGAGTTTGGGCTACCTGTGGTGTCTCATGTATATGTATTCTCGGTTTTCAAATGACGTCACAAAAAATTCAAACTAAGAAACCATCGATTCTACTGAGTTTCATGAGGCATTACAGCACCTAGACACCTTTATTTAAACAACGTTTTGGTTCGAAAGGGTTCTTCATTCGACGATAGAGGACGTTTAAATTTCTAGGCTTTTGCATCACGTAGCATTTAGCTGGCGGCCGGGAAGGCTCTTATGTGGGTTAAAAAGTAAACATTACCAATTTTGGGAGATTTTGCTATCTAAACATTCCTTGTCTCAGAATAAATATCACTTTATTCCTTTATGACTTTCTCAAGCGATGAATTCACGCACTGGTAGGAAATCTCAAAAACAGATGTTTCTGTTGGTTTCCGGCAGCCATATTTGTGCCCCTCACAGGGACACAAACATGGCGTCTCCATACAAAGCTTTATAAATTTGGGTAAAACGTTTTCCCGAAGATCTCGCATATGAAATATCGCACAGACCTGATTCTTGGCGAGGCCTTTTGCATATTTATCTTCTTTTATTTCCTAGATTCTGGACTTTCTGTATTGAATGGTTTGCAATTTTATTTATGATTGCATGACAGCGAGTGTAAACACTTCACGTGAACTGGCCCAGTATGATTTATTCATATGATTGAAAAGGAGGGGGACAGAGACAACTTGCAGGGTCAAAGGTCAAACATGATGCACGTTACTAAGAGGGTTTCAACAGTGCAGTACGCATGTACCACACTAAGAGTTGTGAACTACTGTACATGTAAGTAAACTACCAATTTAATGATATGAAATGAATAAAATGATCACTTAGTGAAAATGCTTTAATCGTTAATCAAATTCTCTTAACTACATGTAATTCTTTTAACCCTTTAAACCCTAATATCAAAATTAAAATTCTCATTTGTTGTCCTTATTTGTTTTCAATAGAAGTAGTGGGAAGAATTTGTTGAAGTATCAATTAGATTCATCCAGTGTGATCAGGTCCTCAATTCTCATGACCACTGTGTTTTATAAAGAAGTGATACTACAAGGAGAAATTTGATGCTGATCACTCTTAGGGCTTAAAGGGTTAAGGAATGTATTGAGATCATTCTGGAGAATTTGTATGTGGATACTGGTGCTTAAAGGGTTGAAACAAGCCATTGAAGCCCACACAGCAGCAGCTTATCTTGGTTTGAGTACCATGAATTGCTAAGAACTATTCACAGCCCAACTTCCCCCACCCCTCCCTGGATGGGATACTAGTCCACCACAGCATTGCTCCCAATGGTATGTAGCCAGTTTAAAAAAAAAAACAAAATTAAAGACCTGTGAGAGGAGAGGTAAAGGAAGAAATAGTTTCTTGACTAAGATCAAAACTCAAAAAAAATTATGTTGTTAGTAAAATCTATATTTAATTAGATTTTTATTAAGTCAGAAAATGTTACCTTTTCACCAGATATTTAGAATTTAAAGCTCAGAAAGAAATACTATTCAAATTTTTTCTTTACCATTCTTTTTGCTTACATCTATGTTATCCCTTTGAAGAAATTATTATATTTTTGAAAAACCTTTGTATTTTTCTGTAATTCCTGATAATGCACACAATCTTTTGAGATCATGACACTAGTCATTTTGTTGTTTTCTACAAAATAATTTTTTCACATCAAAGATCACGTTTCATCTACTTTTTACATGTTACAGATCATGCCTGTTGAATAAAAGGAGCAAACACAAAAAGACAGAAAAAATACTCACAATACTCAAAATACTGTCTTAAAATTTGTGCTTGGTAACATACAAAAGGAATGTTTAAGAAGGAATCCACCAGGAAACTGAGTAATATTAATTCTCAGTGGACAAAACGCTTGTTCCTGCACAATAATTTTTAAAAGGTCTCGGGAAGAAAAAAAATTCATTAAAAAATTATTATTCACTCGATCGTACTTAAACCGACGATTTTGTAACTAGGGCACATAAGGCTTTATTCTGGCTGAGTTTGAGGCCAGATCATATTTTGACTATTTCCTCATCTTAAGTTGATAATTTCGCGAAGCTGCTCTTAAGAATATTGCATTCTTTTTACATTTTTCAAGAGCTAAAGATGTAAGTGGTCATCTGTAATAACACCAAAGAAAATTTCTCATAGGATTCCAAGAAAGTGAATGTCAAATTTCACAAGAATTGTGAAAACAGAGGAAAAATTCTGAAAATTTCATGTGTAAGATGTAATTTTGTGAAATTTGACATATTCATTTTCTCGGGCTCCCATGAGAAATTTTCTTTGTTGTTATCACAGAAGACTAATTACATCGCTAACCCTTGAAAAATGTACAAAAGAATGCAATATGCTTTAAATTATTCTGGTACAGAATTTTTGTCCACTAAAAATTAAAATTACTCAATTTCCTGGTGGATTCCCTCTTTATTTAACCCACTGTTAAACTCATCGCTAATGATGAGCAGCTCGCTCGAGTTTAACTTTGCCTGAATGATATTTAGCCACATTAAGAATCACTGAGAATTTAGTGTTGCTTTTGAACAATATTGTAGTGAAGTTGATCTTTAGTATGAAAACTTTAAACAGGTGACAAGTACGTTTGGGCATATTTTAAAAAACTGCCCTGAAAAATGGGTAAACAGTAGATCTATCATGTACACAACTGAAATTAGTCCTGATGTCTTGACGATATGTAAGTTATTAACAATTGTATTGTTTCTTCGCCTCCATATATCTAAAATGGTTCCCTTGGGCATTTACAGATTGATACACGCACTCAGGGAGGGGGTGGGGTGGGGTAGAGGTTGGGAAACTTCCATGTTTGGGTCACTCAGTATGTGCAGCTCTGCATGGTAGAGGTTTACGGGAATTCAATCTTAAAAAAAAGTATTCAATGTCACTATTTAGCATTTAAAACAGGGTAGCAATTTGAATCCATTTTGCTTTAAACAGGGTCAGAATTGAAGGGTTTTAGCAGCACAGACCCAATCACACTTCCTTTAAACCAAACCCCCGCCCCCCCCCCCGCCCCCGCCAGCCGGAAACGTTTAGTATATTAGTACAGTTATTACTTTCACCGTTTTTTCCGAGTTAAAAATCGAGAGATGGAACAGAGGGGGCTCAAATCAGACCTCCCCTGATTCAGAGTCTGATATGATTAACATCCCTACACCAACATTCAAAACCACAACTAGAACTAATTCTCACACCTCAAACCTTACAACTTGTTTACAAGATACCAAGAAAAATCAACCTTCACTTGACTTACACTATTAGCTACCAGATGACAAATTTTGCTTACCTCCATCAGCCTGGACATCACAGGAATCCTAAAAATCCTTCAACACTGCAGACATGAACACTACAACAGGAACAGAGAAAGAAAGTACACATTGTAAATAATGGTGCAATGTTGTAAACTACATGTACCATTTGACACTTTCTTTTTGTGGGAGTTTAATTAATTATATAACAATTTTGTGGATTTATGATTTTTTGTAATTCGCAACAACTAATAATTAGTTGTTGGTGTTGTGTATTAGGACCCAGACTCCCTCTCGGTAGGACATTGTAACGCCTGACTATTGAATCAGGAGCCACGAGTCGTGTAGGCGAAATAAAGCCATCGTCCAAGGTTGAATCCGTTGTAATCTTCCATTATTTGCCGACCAGATCGGTCACAACATTGGCGACGAGGGTAAAACAAGATCCCAAGAAGTCAGCGAGACGAAAAGTTCGCGAGAAACATGGACGATAATGAACGAAACCATATCAAAACATTCGACTGTCATGGGGACCAAAACACGCTTGGCTTTGCGATGGAAACGGTGGCTGACAGCTTTGAACTATTTGCAGATGGCAAAGGCTTAATTCTAAATGAAGACAACGCGAACAACAGGCAGAGGAGACGTGCATTAATGCTCCATCTCGCGGGACCCGATGTTCAAGATATTTTCCTTACCCCTGCCGAACACGGAGATGTGAAAGATTACCGGAAAGCGGTCGATGCACTGAACACATACTTCGCTCCCAAAGTCGACACTACGTATGCTAGACACTGTTTCAGACAGCTAATTCAAGCACCAGGGGAAACAATCCGACAGTTTGCAACCAGACTCCGACGAGCATCGAAAGATTGTGACTATGGCGAAGATACAGATAACCAAATTCGTGATGAAATCCTCTGCAAGTGCACCAGCACGTACATAAAACGAAAACTCCTGGAAGAACGTCAAGGCCTCACTTTAGCTAGAGCGCTTGAAACGCCCAGAACTGCGAAAAAGTCGACGCACAGCTTGCTGCAATGACCATAGAGGAAAAGGGAGAGAATTCAGCTAGTGTAAACCGCATAGAGGGAACAAAGACAGGCCATGGCAAGAGAAATCAGTCACGAGATACCAAAACCGGCCGTGAGAAAACTTGTTACCGATGTGGTAGAACCGGACATTTCGGTCGAGATTCTAACTGTCCAGCAAGAGGTAAATTCTGCCATCGATGTGGGCTGGAAGGACATTTTCAAGAGCAGTGCAGGACCAAGCAGAAAGGTGAAGAAAAGCAAAAAC